AGGAGGGGCTGCCCCGGGGAGGGGAGGCCCCGGCACAGGTCAGTGCAGAGCCCGGCAGCCTCCAGCATCCCCAGAAACACGGGATGCTTTGGCTGGAAGGGACCTGGAATGCCATCCAGGCCGGCCTTTCTCCCAGCGCTGCTCCATGTCCCCTCAGCACCATCTCCAGGGCTTGGAAAACCCCCTCCAGGGATGGGGGCTCCACCCTGGGCCTGACAACCCTTTCAGTCAATCGTTTTTTTTCCTAATACCCAATCCGAACCTCCCTTGGCACAACTTGAGGCCTCTGGTCCTGCCACTTGTTCTTTGCTGCGTGTCCGAAGCAGGTGCATCAAATGTCACCTCAGCCTCTCACTGGTGGGACTTGGCAGCCCTCAGAGCGGGCGCTGCAGGAGGGGCTGCCCCGGGGAGGGGAGGCCCCGGCACAGGTCAGTGCAGAGCCCGGCAGCCTCCAGCATCCCCAGAAACACGGGATGCTTTGGCTGGAAGGGACCTGGAATGCCATCCAGGCCGGCCTTTCTCCCAGCGCTGCTCCATGTCCCCTCAGCACCATCTCCAGGGCTTGGAAACCCCCTCCAGGGATGGGGGCTCCACCCTGGGCCTGACAACCCTTTCAGTCAATCGGTTTTTTTCCTAATACCCAATCCGAACCTCCCTTGGCACAACTTGAGGCCTCTGGTCCTGCCACTTGTTCTTTGCTGCGTGTCCGAAGCAGGTGCATCAAATGTCACCTCAGCCTCTCACTGGTGGGACTTGGCAGCCCTCAGAGCTTCTGTGCTTCCTGCTTCCAGAGCCTTGTGCTGTCGTGTTTGGCTTTGGGTCCACAGAGGGGAACTTCCTTCTTTCCTTCACAAGCTGCCTGTGCATCATGGCAGAGGGCAGGTTTCTCATGTGGGGTTTTCAGACCTGGTTTCTCACTGACCACTCCTGAGAGCAGAGTGAATTGATGTTGCAGTGGCAGCTCAGGTGCTGGAAGTGAAGTGAGAAAGTAGCCAGAATGGAAGGGTCACTGATTGCTGCACCTTTCAGATGCCAGAGGACCCAGATGAGCTAGCAGTGCTGGAAGAGATTGAACAGGAACTGATCTTGCAAGGTAATGTCTCTGCAGATTTTCTGACTCCTGTTTGATTTGTAATATTCCTGACTTTCTAGTAATCCAAACCAGCTGAGGCTGTGCTCCTCAGTTCCTGTGGACTATGAGGTACAGAAGAGCTTCCTGAGAAATCTCTGCATCAAGGCCCTTTTTGGCAGTTTTGAGAGTTGAAGTGGCATGTTAAGGTCTGTGACAAGCTAATAAAAGACCAGAGGAAAAGCACTGAGATGTTTGGGAGGTGTAGGAAGCTGGATAAATGATTTCTAAATCATTGGAGAGTGGAAAGTTGCCCACTTGAGACCAGGTAAAGACTGAGCCATAGGTAAAACCTGGATTAACATGAATTAACCCCTCAGATGTAGAAGTGTGATCCAGAAAAAGTGAAGTTCAGAAGCCAGTGGCTGCCTCAGCTTCTTTGTCTGGAGTTCCTGACAGATGCCTGAGGGCAGTTTGCCTGTCCTTGCAGGGCAGCTGGCTATGGAGGAGTACCAGTACAGCCTGCAGTTTGATGAGGAGTGTCTCAATGCCATGCTGGATGGTCTGGATGCCAGTGATAGGATCATCTGCCCAGTGTGTAGAAAGTAAGACAGCCCTTGGCATTGGAATGGGGTCCTCCACTCTCCAGGAGCAGTTTGGGCTTCAACAGGCAGAAGCTGTGGGTAAACAGGGGCTGTTGTTACCGTGAATTTCACCAAAGTGAAAAAAACCAACACCTGAGCAATTACCTAAGAGGCTTTTTGCTCAAATGGCCCGTTGTTCTGGCTGCTGTGATGATGCTCATTGTTTCCTCTTTCCAGGAATAACCTGACTGTGAGGAATGACTTTGTGTTTTGCCAGTGTGGGTTACACATCAGCACCCAGGTGAGCTGAGCACTGAGACACGTAGTAGCTGTGCCTGCCTCCCTCTGCTGTGAGGAGGCAGTTCCAAGCTGCAGGGAACAACAGGAAATGTCAGGCTTCTTTGACCTGGGTTTTCCTCAGGGAATGACAGAAGAGAAGCTACGGTCGCTTCTGGAAAACGCGGTCACCGAGCACAGTCACCAGTGCTTCCACAGCCCCCAGTTCACAGTGACCAGTGGAATGGAGGAGGAGCCCAGTCTGCTCATGAGCTGCTCGGTGAGTAAATGCCCAGCTCCTGGAAAACCTAGAATCCTACAATTCTATGAAAGGGTCTCTACTTGGATCCACTTCTTAATTACATGGGCAGACACCACGAGTTCCTCCATCCCAGGGCTTTGTGTTGTGGCTTTTTTTCCACAAACTTCCTTGGAAATAGTTGTCACTTTTGGCCATGTTCAACTGTCAAAGGAAGAGCCACATGACACAGCTTTCCTTCAGCTGCTGGATTAGGGAATCTTTCAAGGACCTATCAAATTTAGTGTCTCACCTTTCTCCCCACCTTTGCCAACAACTTCCAAGTCTGGTGTGGAGCAGCTGTTCAGACAAGTGGTTAATGAAGAACAGTTTTACCAATGACTTCAGTTTAAACCTCTTAAAAAACACACACACCATCCCTGCAGCCCTAGGGAGGGTTCTTAGCTTTGCTGCTTCTGTAAAATCACTGCCAGGGCAGCGTGAGGAGTAGAGCATGTCAAACACTTTGGAATATTAATAATTAATTTTATACCTTGTTATAGCTTCTCTGTTCCCCTTTTGTAAAGGTCTGTGACTCCTGGACAATTCTCCTGTAAGTTGATTCTGCTGCTTTTTACTGGAAGGACTTCAAAACTCCCCACCCCGAGCTGCTAAGTTGTTTTTTTTTTATGTATATAATTGTAACTTCTGTGCCAAAAGATACCTAGAAAGGCACAAGAGTATTGCCTTACCCTGCACTTTTAATGACACACACTATCTTTTGAAATAAATATACTTAGTTTACTTGAGCCTTCAAGTTGTCTTTAACAATGTATCAGGGATCTCACACGGGACTGCAGCTTTGGTGTCTGTTTGAACCCACAGTGACCTTCAAGGAGCAACTGGAGGGACAAGTTTGAGTGGGAGAGTGTGGCATGTATATAATTGTAACTTCTGTCCCAAAAGATACTTAGAAAGGCACAAGAGTATTGCCTTACCCTGCACTTTTAATGACACACACTATCTTTTGAAATAAATATACTTAGTTTACTTGAGCCTTCAAGTTGTCTTTAACAATGTATCAGGGATCTCACACGGGACTGCAGCTTTGGTGTCTGTTTGAACCCACAGTGACCTTCAAGGAGCAACTGGAGGGACAAGTTTGAGTGGGAGAGTGTGGCTGCTGCCCTGCAGCAGTGGCTCTGACAGCTGCTGCTGGAACTGAAGTGCTCAGGCCTCCCTGCAGAGCTTTTCTAAACCAGCAACATCTATACTAATGTTATGGCAGCACATCCCTTTTCAAAGCAGCTCCTGTTTCTACCTTATACCATGATACAAAGTTTATACCTTGAATTCCCCAACACAAAGATAAGACAGTCAAGCCTTCCCTAGTGTGACTCACATTCATAATTAGCTCTGCTTGGCCAGCAAACTTCCTCCTGCAGCCAGAGCTCTGACAGGGGGCACATGGTATAGCTGGAATTGCATTCCCTGGAGGAAACAGGGCCAGCACACACCATGGCTGCAGGAGCAGCTCTGCCAACACCAGCTCAGGCACAAACAGTAGCCTCAGTTTTATGGCAGCTCTTTAGTCAGCAATGGCACAACAGGAAGAAGAGAATCCACCAGTTTTCAATATGTTGAACAGAATTTATTCTTCACATCCATTCTTAATTGTACAAAATCAACCAGGTAGGGTGAGGCAACACCAGGCTGTTATGGTTAGAGAACCTGGTGTGGACTGCAACATAAATACAAAACCCCCAGTACAAGTGAGAATCCTCATTCTCCATATTCCAAAGGTACTTACTCTCCATATCTGTTGTGAAGATATATTTGGGTACTGCTGGCTGGAGCAGTGCTGTGGAATACCCACTCTTGCAGATCAGTTTCCTGGCCTAACCTACTGACATTTGACAAAGCTTTTAAGGTCTTCAAGGAATTTAATGTACTCCTGGTGCTCCAGTGCAGTGCTAAGCTCTACCAACTCATCAGCAAAGGTGTTGTCCACTCCTCGATCAGCCAGGAAATCCATCAAGTGATCATACAGAGCCTGGAAGCAGAGACCAAGAACCTTCCTTAGCAGAGCACACCTGGCCAGGGGTGGTTTTTAAAATGCCCCACAGCAACTGACATATCTCTCCCCCAGGAAGACCAGGCAGCTTCCCGTTCCCTTCACAGGAGGCCTGGCCTTGGGTGTGGCTGTTGGGAGGGAAGGGGCCCTGGAACAGGTCAGATGAACCCAAACCAAACATGACCATGGAGCTGCACTGGGGGTGATCAACAGAGTGCAGGAGTCAGCAGGTTACACCTGTCAGATTGTACCTGCCAAGCTCTGGCCTGGGGTGTGAACTGTCTGAACAGTGTCTGGAAAGGGTGGTATCTGATGCAATATTTGTTTAAAAGACCAAATCTTTTAAAATCATCAAGTCTTTTTAATTATTTATTTATTCCTTTAAATCCTACTCAACTGTTGCAACTCCACTCTTGTGAGTTCCCCCCTCCCTACTCAGAAGAACAAATTCATTGTTACTGCTTAGTGCAGAAACGTTAATACCTGTCATGTGCTTCTGGTTTTAGTTGGTTTTTCTTTTTTAAACAGACCAATATTACTGAGCAAATGATTCATTTTGAACTTCTGTAATGTGAAGAGATCACAAATCATCCCCAGTTTTAAATTCATCTCCTGTCTCAAGTCAGGAACAAACAAACAGTGGGATGTTCTAGAGCACACACCACCAATTCTAACAGGAATGCTTCCCAGAGAGGTGCACTCTAGGATACAAGTTTTAATCATGATACTCAGGTTTCATGCTTTGGAAGCCTGGCACTGAGAACATACAAGCAGGTGCCAGATTCTTAGTCACACTGATTTTTAGTGTCACAATATAAAAACATACCCGGGAAACCCAGAAAACAAAGGCATCTACAGATGGTATCTGTGAGCTACATTGTTAAACACAGATCTAAGGATAAAGTGTCAAAGCATCTCTGAGGTCTAACAGCTGCTGGGAAATCAACCTGTAAAGCCTGGAACAGAACAAGTCCCAGCGTGTCTGTCTGTGCCAGTAACACCACCAGCCCTGCACAGCCCTGGAAGCAGGTGACACTGCTCGGCTGCCCCTGTCTCTGGAATCCCAGAAGGATTCACTGGCAACCCGGGAGCAAACCTGCAGCCAGGCCAAGCGCCCTCTGCAGCCTGTGGCTGTGTCAGCAACACTCACCCAGTCCAGGGAATCCGTGTTGAGGGTGTAGTTGGTTTCCTTCCAGTCAGATTCTCCAGTGGGCTGAAAACTGACCTCCCGAATGGTGAAAATATCACTTTCTTCCTCTCCCTCATGTCCAATCTGAATTGGGAGACATTAAACATACAATAAGCTCTAGCTACAGGGCCCCTTCAGCCATCCCATCCCAAAACCAGGAATACTACACTGCAGGCAAACCCCCAGGGCTAGTATTAGAGCTGTGCCTCTCCCCTGGCAATGCCTGCCTTGGAGACAAGCACAGGCACACACAAGAACACAGGAAACAACCCCAAGACCTCAGACTACCAGCAGTGACCTGATGCAAGTCAGCAGCCTGATTTCTACAAGATGTAAAAATTTCTTCTGCCTTGTTCTGAATCTGTCTTCTCAAGTCTGTCTAATCCTTGTCAGCTACGACTGCCTGCAAAAATCATCTGTTAAGGTTTACAAAATAAAACACAAAGATCAGTCTGAAGCAAAGCTTTTCATTTTAATCCCCCCTCCTCCCCTTTTTTTTCTGTTAATCCCAACTTTGTGACACTAATGAGATTTTTTTATAATGAGATTTTCAAGTTACTGACACATTATATCAAACCCATCTTGTTGTGGTCATTTCTGTTTACCCCCCCTCAGGCTGCCATTCCCAATGTAAACCAACAAAATTGGCCAATAATTAGCCAATCAGAAATGCCAGGTTTGTGAGGAATGCAGTGCCAGAACACCCCCCCACACAGTGTTCTTTGCCAAACCAAAGAAACAAAATTGGCCAATAATTGGCCAATCAGAAATGCCAGGTTTGTGAGAAATGCAGTGGAACATCCCCCCACACAGTGTTCTTTGCCAAACCAAAGCCTTTTTTTTGTGTGTTAAAAAAGACAGGAGACTGTGTTTTCTGCAGATTCAGAAAAGGAACAGACTGTGGACAGAGAAGCTACACTGCAGCTGAGCAGGAAAGGTGCAGTCACAGCCAGGGTGATACCCACCTCATCCTCAGGGTAATGGCAGTCAAGAACCAGGGTCTGTTTTGTATCATCTTTTATGACTTCCACAACAAAGTTTGGAGTTGATGTAAGATCAGGCTAAATAAGAGAACAGTTGCATCAGCTCTGGAATCTGAACGGAAGCCAAAGTGCTGATAGTGCAGCTCAGCAAGCACAGCCCATCCCACACAGGTTGTTCCCTGTCACCCTCTGCAGTCTCTGATCTGGCCAGGGTCACCCAAGCCCCCCCAGGCCTCACCAACTGCCCCTCAGCCCCTCCTCTGCCCTGGGTAAAATGGGAGCATCTGCCAATCCTGAGATCCCACAGCTCAGGGTCCCTCAAAGCAACAGGAACTGGGAACAGACTCAAGACTGTTCTGACAGCAGGAGCTGCTCCTGCCTCAAACAATATTGCTCATTCAGTTTCTACCAGTATTTTCCCCAGCAGTCTCATTACACAGGAGTGACACTCTTCTGAGCAGCAAAACCACACCAACGGAGTCATGTAAGTATCTTTGCATTTCACTGATTTAACTTATTTTATAAGTATTTATCGCATGGGACGCAAAGGCAAGAGACACCCCAGTTCCTCCCCTCCTCACAGGGCCCTCCCACCCTGCTCTGCCTTTCTGCTGCAGAAAGCAGGGTCCCAACCAACCCAGACAAAACTGCACTTTGTGACTTAATGCTTCCAAAATGTCAAATGAGAGGAATATTATGGGCAAAGCTCGAACTTCCCTCTGTGAACCAGCCACTGAAATGCAAATCAAGACTAAATTTACCTCCTGTTCATCAGGTTTCTGCTCTTCTTGTGTTTCTTCCTCAGCCGAGGGTGGAATGCTGTTGTTGATGTTGAATGTAACTGTTATCCTACAAAAGAAACAGAAGCAGATACTTTCAACATACTAAAAAAACCCCCAAAAAACTACCCATCAAAATGCCTTTTCTTTGATGGTTTTGGTGTGGGGAGTGTTCCTGGTGTGGAAAGCTGGGGAGGGACTTTGGACAAGGGCAGGGAGTGAGAGGACAAAGGGGAATGGATTAAAACTGGAGGAGGGGAGATTGAGGTTGGATATCAGGAGGAAATTATTGAGTGTGAGGGTGATGAGAGCCTGGCGCGGGCTGCCCAGGGAAGCTGTGGCTGCCCCATCCCTGGCAGTGTTGAAGAGCAGGTTGGATGGGGCTTGGAGCAGCCTGGGCTGGTGGGAGGTGTCCCTGCCCATGCAGGGGGTTGGAACTGGATGATCTTTAAGGTCTCTTCCAACCCAAACTATCCTGTGATTCTACAAATTCACACACTGTGACCAAGCCCAGGTATCACAGTGTCAAACACAGGCACGAAGCTGCCTTCCTCCACCTGTGCTTACAAACAAGCACTTCCCAAGTTCTACCAGCCCAAACAGTTATTTCCAAGGCAGAGGAGACTGCAGGGAACATCGTAACGCACCAAACAACTACCTAATTGTGTTAAAAAAATAAACCCTAATAAAAAAATCAGGAGCCTTTGACCCAAGCAGGGAAAACCAAGAGCCTGTGCAAGGTCTGCAGGGACAATACAGGAGCAGGAGGAGCCATCGGGGGGAGGTGCCAGGGCCAGACTCACTTCTCCCCGGCGATTTTCCGCACCAGCTTGGCCTCCGTGCCCTGCACCTCCAGCTCCCACCCTCCGGAGACCTTGGGCAGAGATTTGTGCTTCTGGATCTTCCTCTCCTCCTTGATTTCATCCGTCAGGAACTGCGCGAAGGCTTTGTCACCTGGCGGGGGAGGGGGGGGAAGAAAAAGGGGGTTTGTCCTTAGGGAATGTCCCCGTCCCCAGATCAGCCGCCACGTGCTGCTCGGGGGTGGGGGGGAAGAGGGGGAACGCGGGGGCCTCCTCACACCGCCCCCTCCCCACA